TAAGTTCTTTCTACTGTTTCCCATAAGACTGTTTGCAAATCAGTACAGTTTTCTCTCTGAAGATTTTAAATTTGCTAAAATTAAGCAATAAAGAGTTAACAGAACTTGTGAATTAAAAATCCATTCTGAAGTCCATCATTGGAAGGTCTTGTATGAATCTAATTTTCAAGTAAAAATATTAATTGCAGATTGGATTAAGAGACCAAATCTGAAAGACCCAAGTCAAAGAAAAGACGGCAACAGGAGCAAAAGTGTCAAACAATTTGCCTGTGGATTCGATTGGTGTAAAAATACATCTTAAAGGAATATAAATTACATTAACTTTTTTCTTTTATTCTTACATGTATGAAAAATATGGCAAAAGGGCATATTTTCACCATAGCAACAGTTATCTACTGAATGACCAGACACTGGGTTGCTTTTCATTTTCATGTTCACAAGCAGTCAGCTGCTTCTTTTCTGATATTCTTCTCATTCTCTCAGAAGGCACTCAGTTATATTTAGCAATGTACTTCATACCAGTCACAATCAACTAAACATGAAGCAAACAACCAGGAAAAAGAATTAGGAGCATTTTAATTAGCAGTTTCATAATCCTAAAATCCCTGATGGGCATTCTATAGAGCAGTTTAGCCTGCATGCAACTTGAGTTAGAATTCTCTAGAATCACCCCTCATTATATATTGGTCCTGCTCCACAGTACTAGTAATTTTTTATATTACATAAATATTATGTATCCGTTATATTGTTCTTACACCACTAAGTGAAAAACAATGACGGAAGGAATTAGGATTACCATTTTCCCTGACTGATTTTATGCTGTTCCCCGTCTATACAGTGGAAAACATAGGCATGGTTTGACCATCAGTGCTCAAATTATGAATCAACAGCTTTTGATTTTTTGACATCTTTGAGATTTTGCACTTTTTCAGCCTTGTTTGCGGTCTGGTGTTTAACATACTATCTGAAATGCTTGGTCCCTGACTTTTCATTCCAAATACTTGCTGTTCATGGTGCACGGGTAGGCATATAAGGCATTTTTCTGCTCTCTGACAAGGTAACTGACATTTTAAAATTAAAGAATAAAAAATAAATTAAAGATAACAGATAGGCATGATGAATAGCAAATATTTTGTTCATATATAGGAAAGACAGATTGACCACCACATGAATATTTGTGAATATCACATAAGAAAGAGCTAATAACACTTGAACCAAAATACTTGGTGTGAATCTGAAGATCTGCTGACTTTTTGAGCTGTTGACCATCCCTCCTTCCAAGTCACAGTGTGCATTTCTCCTTACCATGGGATGTACTTGGAGTAGCATAAAATAATTTGGTAGGTTTTTCCAAAGGAAAGGGAAGATGTTATTTTTGATGAACAGATTTATGGTTATGCAGATCATGTCAATGATACAGATTATCTGTTTTATGGTTTGGGATAGAAATTGCTTTCTATGGGGGTGAGGTAATCATTCACCTCACTTCCTGCACAAAATTGAATTTGTCTAGGCATATTATGGGACTTTTTATTGGATGGCTAAAAAAGGGAGTAAAAATTTGCCACCTTCTGAAACACTAGGCTAGATAGCTAGCCTGATTAAGTATGACAAATTCCAGTAATTAAATTATACTAATATTAAACAAAGCTGCTCCACATGTAATATATTACTGACAATTTCACCAATAGTGTTTGCAGCAGACTAATACATTAAGAGAAAATATGTCTAGATCATGCAGACTGCCACTGTCTGAATAATGCAAAGCTTTGATACTAGAGGCTAACCATGGCACACAAAAGAAACTTGTTTGATCTCTGGTAACCATCCTACCAAGATGGATTTTATGCCAGTATTTCTGTGAGACTGTCATAGCTATATGTCATTGCTCTCATGACAAACCCATTTCTTCCCTTCCTTTGCCAGTGCAAGCATGAAAAACAGAACCTTCTGATAATTACTATGAAGATTTTGGAATTTCCAGACAGCAAATGTCAGAGGACATTGCCTGTAAAGTTGGCAGGCACCCAAAACACATAACAGGCTAAAACAAGTCCCATAAAGAGTGTAAATGATGTTTGTAACTTGTCTTACTGGAAAAGGAAGGAGAGAGCACAAGGATCAGGGGTTTTTTTAATTATCACATTTATTTTGGAAACAGAAGAGAAAGGAGAAGAGAAACCTTTTGAAACCTCAAGTCTGTGTGATAGAAAGTGAACTTATCCATATATACACATACACAGATAGAAAACTCTTCTCTTCTGGAAAATTCATTCCAAACCAATGACTGAATTTCATTACAAAAGGAAGGAGAAATTGGAGAAATTCACTGTCTGAATAAAGTACTAACTAGATACTAATTGTAACATATTCCCATTGAGCTACAGAGGCACTGCCAAACTGTTGAGCTGAGGTACAGAGCTTGCACCATCATCAGGTCCTGAAGAGCCAAATAAAAAATGCAGTTTCCATTTTAATTCCTACTCTAGGTGCAGAGTGTTGCAAGATTACCCTCCAGACAGATGAATCTTTAGCATTAAATAAGAGTCTTCTAAAAGGAAAACAACTTTTGACTCTGAATGTAGCCAGATGGCTAGCAGATAAAGCAACGGCAGTAAAGACAAAGATGCATATTTTGAAAAAGATCAGATGATGAACAAATCTTCCCTGATTTCAATAGGCAGGACTCTACGTTCAACAGATCTCCACTTTCCTTCTGATGCCAGTGAGTTCATTATACCTGGACAGCATTTGGAAAAGAATATGTTCTGTTGTTCTGATATAGATGGAGATTAAATGCAGAGATATCGATTGAATTACCCTGGTCTTACAGCAGTGTAATTATTAACATAATCTGGCTTCTTTTTTCTAGGTATTTTAGTATTCTATGAATATCACAGATATAAGACAGTCTGCTATACAATTTTTTTCATTAAAGTCTGAATGACCTCCTCTTAAAATTAGTCCACTGATTGATTTGTATTCCACAGGGTGCTCATTACAGCTACCGGTAGTGCACACGAACATAAAAAATTACCCTAAAAAATGGCAATTTTAAGCTTTCATTAGAAGGTCTTGTTCACAGGTTGAAGTCAGTCAAGCAGTAAGTAATTAAGACAATTTACTGTAGCATGACTGTATATACTTCATCATATATTCCCACAGGAAAAGTCATAGGAGACATCTACATTAGAATTTTCTTATGAAGCTTGCTTTTGTTTTTGCACTATTTTGGAGATGGGATTGCAGACAACCTGGTACTTGACTCTCCAGTCTGAGCATCCCCCAAGAACTTCACACTGCCAGTCTGTTTGCATTTGTATTGATGCCTTGGCAGTATGAGAGTGTCACCAATATCACTTATAGCTAGTAATCCTACTTAACAGAAGCTAAGTAAATTCACTTCAGTCCAGACCTGTGTTAATTGCCCTTGGAGAGTCTAGAGGGTACAGTTACAGGAGGCCTGCTTTAGTATTGGTTTTATTATTTTGTTCACCATTACCTGTCCTCACTGTTCACAGATGTCTGGACCCCCGCAGAGTACTCTGTACAGATACTGCACTCTCTTTATGAGGAGATAAAGATTATTAGATGAGGCCACAGCTTCATTTCCTTATAGTGAGCAGAAAACAGAGAAGAAATGTAGGGAATATACTAAATGTTGTATTCACCACTGCTGTAGGCTGTAAAGACTACAGACATTCCAAAGCTATGTTGATTAGTAATTAGCACAAAGCAGATGGGAAATCATGCTGTCTCCCGAGGAAGTTAATGCAAACTAGTTACAGTATTTATATGTTGTTGAGACTACCCTGTTGAAATGTGTTTTAAATAAATAGAAGAACTGGAATTGTCTTGACATTTCAGTTAAAAATAGGTAAGACCAAATATTGAACTGGAAATTAGCTGCAAGTCTATGCTGAAAAGAGATCAGGAGTTCTCTATATTCATAAATGATCATTCTTGGGTTTAAATCCTCTTTATTTTTTACAATGTGTTTTTAAAGGCATCTGCTTTAAATCTAGTTTTATTTGCCACTTCTTCAGAGAACTGAATCTGCTGTTCCTCACTACAGACTTGAATGTGATTAATGGAAGATTCATTCTGAACTTGATTGGTAGTCTGCTACCATATATATATCGAGGCATGTTACATACTTTTCTTACTCAAAACACTGGATGTTCAGAGAATTGCAATCCATTCTAAAGGCTAAGGACTTTGGGCTACTTTGGAAAGTTGTTTTGAGATGATCCCACAAAGACAGACAAGGAACCCTTCCTTTTGTACCAATAGAGTTTCTCTCCACCATATAAATCCTAAATATAGGTTTGAGAGTAAATGAGCATGAAGAAATATGTTCTCTATTTAGGTGGGCCCAGACATTTGGAGGTTGAGTGGTTGATTAATACATTTGCCTTTTCTGGGAGAAGAATAATCATCAAAGATGCTCTTACATGAGTACAACTTAAATGGATAGTTCTGACACTGAGTATGACATCCATGACTGTTTGTCTGCCAAGACTGTGAGAAATGCCCAAGAATGTGAAAAATTGGAAGAGGGAATGTAATAATACATTATTTTTAAAAAACTTTGGAATATATGGCTTTTTCAAATTTCATCCTCACCTGGAAATAACAGTAAGTAAGAGGGCTGTGTTGGATAAAACCTTTGCTGTTTTGATATAGGGAACTTTTTGCATAATGAGTTCTGGTTTAGGGACTATGGATCCTTACTACATACATGCAAATGTCTTCTAGGACTTCAAAAAAACTATAAATCTCCTCTCATCTGATACAGGAATGAAAAAAGGCTTTAACATCATTTATTCTAATAGACAGTGAACTTCCTAAATGAGACAATAATCACAGAATCATAGAAAGTTGTGAGTTGGAAGGGACCCACAAGGATCATCGAGTCATCTCCATCCTAAGACTAGAATAAAGTAGAACATAATTTCATGAACGGCATATTATTGTACATAATTATTTCTGTTTAACAGATTATTTCAAAGAGGATGATCAGAGTGATCCTGAACCACCAGGGGACACCACCAGATACTACCAATCTATTAAGAAACACTTGGAGGAGAAAAAAAGTGCATCATCATCTTTTGTTTCCTCCACTGAAGATGAGCAAAAGCCCCTGTTCTCTGGGATAGCTGACTACCCATCTGTAACAGAGAAAACCTCAGAGGTGGACTTTGAAGAAATGGTTCATGCCACAGAAGAAATACTTACTGTTAAAAGCAGCAATTCTTGCAAAGGTAATCTAGCTGATGCTATTTTGTAAAGTTTGAGTAGACATCTTTTTTTAGTCTAATTATCAAAAATAATTTTCTGAATGGTTTTATTGATTCTTTCTCAAAAGGATTAAAGTAGTTTAATACACTGGCTGTGGGACTCGATTACAGAACCTCCAGAAGGTTGTTTCAGGCTTTGTTAATAAATTATCTCATAACTGAACTGCCTTAGGAAAGTAATTTAAACAAACTCTCAAAATTGTCAACTGGCACTGAACTTCGTTTTGTTCATTTCATGGATGAAAACTGCACTCAAACAGTAAAGAATCCCTCAAAGGGTGTTTGATATGCCAGGGCTGAGTGAGAGTAAAAAATCACAGATAATGAGAGGTAGAAAAACTTAGTGATAGTTGCACATGCACAAAAAAAAAACTGTTTTCATGTAATTGGTGTCATTCTCTGTATTGACAAGGCACAACAAAAATTAAGTTTTAAAAAATCATAATATCTTGAAAGAATGCTATCCCAGTTTGCTGCACATTGGTTAAAAGGAGTGCCATTACATCACACAGACCAAATCCTGACTTCCATAGCTACAACACAAGAACAAAGATTTGGCCTTTTGTATATGAGAAATGATCAAAAAATATTTAGCAATCATCTCAGTTAATTTTACTTAGAGTTAAATCACATAACTAAAATTACATCTAATATACTAAAATATTAATTTTCCCAGTGATGTGAAGGGAAATTAATGAAAAGCCATGGATTATGTGAAAATAATAGCTGAAAGTTTGTTTGCAATTGTTTCAGTCTGAAGGGAAGAATTACATATTTACTGTTTTATGCTGTTTTCCCCAGCAGTTTGTTTCGATTGAGGCAATTTAACCATTTAACCATCATTCAATAAGCTTTAGGCTTTTAGGCTATAATTTTAAACAATCCTAATGATTAATCAGGCCAAGTAATGTATTTTTTACATTTCAAAGGTATGAATACACGGTCTGGTCTCCTCAGGTTAAGGTTATGTAAATCTGCACCACATAAACTTGTTGCATACATACTGCAATTTGAGAGCTTACCTTTCCTCTACCAATAGCCAGAAATGTGTCCTTGCAGCTATAGCAACGTTTTCCAAGGCAACCTATTGCAGATTTTATTTGAGCTAAATTTAGCTCGTCTAAAGATTACATATTTTGATTAAGAGCACATTATTTTTTCCACTTTGTAATCTAGCACTTCTGATAATGTATGTGAAAGCTCAGTGTGTTAAAGCTTTCTTGCAGCTTTCATAAAAACTTCAGAGTCAATAAAATAGGACCAGTTTTGATTGATATACATTTTAAACTAAATTCTTATTCCTGCTATTATTAGAGATTGGTTATAACTTACCATAAAAGTAGTTATAAACATAATGAAATTTTGAAATAAACTCTGCTTGTATATATGTATGTTTATAATTCACATATAATTCTTGAATACAAGTGCATTTGTATAAAGCTACCACAACTCATTACCACTGTGACTGATACATATTTAGTTATCTTTTGTTTTAAGCTTTGGTCATTACTGTTGATGAACAGAAAGACTATTATTAATAATGTGTTAGATAATGTGGGCAGAAACTGCATAAACTTCTCTCTTATAATCCTGAAATGCAGCTCTTACCTTTATAACATACAGCTTTTCTGAGAAGACCTGATAATTTTCCCATAGTTGGTAATCTATATATTGTGGGAAAATGCTATTTTCTACTTTCACTTGGTCATTATTATTTGGGCTATAAGATTGATTCTTGAATTATTCAAGTGAACTAAGTTATACATGTATGGATTTAGTTCTCAATATAGGATTCTTTAAGCCCTGGAATAGCATAGTTGGTTATAAAGTTGTAACCACTGCTGGGCTTTTCTGGGGATACTTGTGTAGGTGGAAGTACCTGAAAAGATGCTTAGAACAGTAGAATACCATATCTTATAGCATGTTAACTTGTTTATAGAGTATGAACTTATTTTATCATTTGAGTGCCAATTCATTTGTTTTGTCACAAATTGAATGTTTATTGTAATAGTCTACAAATACATATTCTGGGACAAAAAACTGCTGTGATTTCCCTGGTATAATCCGTGGCATTGAAAAATAGCCAACAATTTTGGTTTTGTAGGACATTAAAAAGCAGTGAAATGTATTTTTATATTCTACTCCAGAAATTCACTGCTTAAAAGTAAATCCACCAGACTTACACCATCCATTGCACCCACACCCATAGTTTAAAATTTTACCCCTGTATCTGCCATAGTCTGCTCCCTTCACTTTACTGTGAGTTTTCCAGCTTCCTTGGACACTGCAAATTGTGCCATGTGTGCCTGCTAAAACCAAATTACATACTTCTCTGACACTGTTTTCCTCTTTCCTTCTCATGGCGCAAGTGTCTGAGAAGCTGAACAGGTTTCTTTGTAGCCAACGTGAAACCTCTTTGCCCTTACTTCTGCTCAGTGCATGAAATTAGTTACAGGTCATGTCACATGAAATTCAAGCACTCTCTACAGCTCCAGAACACCTTCTGCCACCTGCTAACCAAAGATCAGATAATGCAGTAAGCACCTTTCTCTGATAAAAATGAGAAGCAAGTCTCCTCTTCCACTTGGAGTCATGTAGTGAGAGCTCCCCTTCCTGGCTAAATCTCCTTGAAATACAACATCTGAGCAGGATTTTTTTTTTTTTTTTCTTTAGAGCAATATTGCTCAAAGATGTGTTTGGAAAGGATTAGCTAATAGCATTTGGACAAACCTCTCATATGTCACCCACACTGTTTTTTTCTCTTTTCTTTGAAACATGGCTCTGACTGCTATGGTTGCTTAGAAAATTTCACAAGTGTGAAATGAATGTAACCTATGCTGAGTTATCAGCATGCAGTGCCAAGAGAAGTGTTAGGAGAACCTCTGAGCAAACCATTCAGGGACTACTGAAGGATGTGGGATTGAAATCCAAATGCTCATACAACAGAGGCTGACACCTTATAAGCAGTCAAGGATTTTGTCCAGCTGTACGTTGAAGCAGCAGCCTGAGCACAGTAAGAACTTTTAATGCATTCTGTAACTTAATGTAGTTAAACAATCACAAAAACAACTCTAATGGGAGTTGTACTGAACAGGTGTTAAAGTTTTAACAGCCTTTTTCATCACAGTGGAGAATCTGAGTGGTACCAAGCAATTTTTTACTGTCCGTGGGACAACAGATTCACTCAAAGTAACACAGGGTGAGGTGAGGCTTGAGGTGGGGTGGGGGCTAGATGCTGAAAAAGCGCTGTTCATCCTAAATGTCACCTGTAGTCTCTGCAAAGCTCACAGCAAGATCTTCATTCTGTACCAGATAAGGGTACGTGCAACTAACATATCCCATGAGAAATTATTTGTAACCTTTCACCAGCTTGGTGAACAGGAGAAGCAGCCTAGAACTGGGAATGATAAACTAATTAATGAATATACAGAGGTGTAAATGAAGCAAATTGAAAGAAGAAAGAGAACCAGAAATCCAAGCAAAAGGAAGGAATGCCCCTGAGTTCTGTTTGGATGGTATGGTGCAGTGTTTGATCACAGACATCCAAGAATTGGGAGGGACAAGAGAGATGGAATTTGCACACAGCAGATGCAGGGTGGGGCCTGAAGTAGTCACCATCTTTTTTTTATTTTTCCCACAAAGGGCTGAAGATACATAAATAAATAAATAAAAATTATTTATAGAAAGAGTATGTTTTTATATACTTTTTATATAGTATATACAACATATAAGGATTAGAAGGGGAACTAAATTCAGCAAGCTGGCTGAAACTCTGAAGTAAGATCATAATTATGCAATTGAGCCCTTTTTAGCTTGAAATAAATGTATTTTCTCTATCTTAATCCAAAATTTTACCTGTAGTTCAAACGGAAAAAAGAAAAAGGAAAAAAATATATATTATTTACTGTGAAGCTTTGTTTAGTATTAAAGTGATCTCTGACTGACCCAGCAATGCTGAATATTTCATTCTTTTAGGATGCACAAATTAAACAAAATGAACTGGCACTTTTCACCCCACAGCTCTGTAAAAGTCTCTGACACTTGCTTTACACTACGATGTAAGGGTTGGGTTGGAGACTAGTGATGCTTAAAGCTACATCTATGAAAATCAATTTTGTTCTTGAAAATAATAACCAGTATCCCTTTGCAAGCAGTATGAGCTGCATTAAATGGCCTCTTTCTTGGGGAAAACATGTTAAGACAAGCAGTGTTACAATTATCGGTAAGAAAGGCAGCTAACTGAGGTCTGGCAACTTTCCCTAGAGGGGACATTCCAATGCACTGCAATACATGCCAAGTGCTGTAAATGCAATGCAGCAAGTCCTCCTTTTACACCAAAAAGCTAAACAGTAAATACACTTCAATAGCACACTCAAGAGCAAGAGATGTTTTAGGAAGATCTCTGAAACACACAATCAAAGACATTCAAGTACACCTTTTAATGTACTTAGGTTAAAATAAATACTTCTAATTTCAATGAACAGTGAATCAGTAAAAAAAAAAATGAGGCTTCATTGGTAAAATAATTGAAATAAATAGTAGCAGAGCTCTGATGATGCTGACTAGACAAAGCTGCTTGTTTATCTACAGCTTCAAAATGTTAGTACGTTGCTATTGTTATGTTAGAATTTTATAATTTTTGGATGTGACCACTTCTATCTTTCCTTAAATAGTAGTAAGGAACAAAGAGAGCTGTTCAGGCAGTGTGCCAGCATACCAATTTGACTTTCAAGCTTTTGAGAAACACGAGGAAGTGGGATGCTTGAGGGGTGCCAACCCCTCTCTAAGAGTATGTATATAAAACTATGCTTTTATATGGTTTGTTTTTCATCAGATATCACTGATAAAAGAGACTGGGAGCAGGAGAACATCCAGGAGTACCAGGACTCCCCAACTCAGTCAGCATTACCACATGTTACATGGGGCATCTGTGAAACTGAAAGTGACTTTATATATGGGGAAGTGGAGAATCGATTAGATTTACTTCAAGAACAACTCAACAGGTAAAAACAGAGATATGGCCAAAAAAAATTATATGCATGAAAGAGTACATAATACAACTTATATTAATGACAGTACAGGAGGAATTAATTTGCACAGGAAGCTCCCAAAAGCATTCAAGTGATCAGAAGCTCAAAAGTACAAAAATCTGCCTGATGGGAATATCACTTGTTGTCTATACATATTCTGAGCCTAAGTATCACCTAAGTTCAGTCTTCCAGATTTTTGGAAGAACTTATTCTGGGAAAGCTGGGTACAAAATTCATAATTCATTACCAGAATATTCATGTCATTTACTTTTAAGTACCCATATTATCTACTCTGAATTGCCTTGCAGAAGAGCCTTTCTCCTCAATTGACTGTTTAGGAGAACAACCTTTTAACAAAGAAGCTGTAGAGAGGCACCCTAACTTGGTAGATTTAAATCTCACCTCACCCATAATGCTGTTCCCTTAACAGTGATTCCTAGATATTCCCATGTCCACAAAATGACAATTTTCAGTATCTTCAATATCTGAATTACTTTCTCTTTCCTGGAGACCCGAAGTAAAACAGCTGCCTTGTTTAAAAAAGACAAATTCCTTTTTTGATGCACTAACTTTTTTTGCAACTGTCTCTATAATAAGTAAGACATGGGAGTATGCAAAGGCAAAATACTTATACCTGTTACAATAGAAAATGGATGCTTTCGTTGTCAGAAGCCATTATTACCTTTGCTTAATAATATGTCTCTTCCTTTTCTCTTTTGCCCTCTGATATATTACTCTGCTGGCAGCTAAGCAACATGGCTTATAGCATCTTAAAAATATGGTTACTGAACTCTGATACATCCTACATTATAATTTATCATGTAATTTAACTTAATTTTAAATTGCCCTATGCTCAGGTCTATGGTTTTTTTATTATTTTCACTCTGCAATTCCATTACTTTCAATATTTTTCCATGACAAATACTATGACATGCACTCAGCCCTAATTATACTTTAGTAGCTCTTCATTGTCATTCTGTGCTGTATATTTTAGCAATCAGTTTAAAGCCAGTTTAACCACATATTGCTTTCTTCATCTACCATAAGCTAATCAAACCATAGTATTTTTCATTTCTGAAAACTGTACAGTACATTAAAAAGACATTTTTAACATGTAAGCCTAAATTGTCATAATTTCCAGATGCAGTAAAGTCGAGTAATTTAAGTAGCTGTAAATGTCACATAAATAAACAGCTGTGTGTTCCCCATCAACAGTGTAATCTTTTGGTTACATTTCTTTTCCTGAAATCGTAAGCTCTTGAAACTGAAGTTATAGCTCAAATTTACCCATAGATTTATCAAATTCCTTTGCAAGTTCTCGGGGATTTTTTTTAGTGAGATAATATCATTATTGCTGATAAACTGAGATTTAAATTGTTAAGGATTTTATTAAATAATTTTATTCTTTAACTCCTTTCATGTTTTTAAAGCTTTTCATGCTTTCAGGATTTGGGGCCTTGCTGGGTCTTCTGTGAGTGCAAAGGACAATATGCTGTCCTGCTTGTGTCAGATCTGACCTGCTGGACTAAAAAGCAGGGTCACTTCTTCCTGACCTTTTCCATGCCAAGTTAGAGGTTTGGCGTAACACTCTAATTATTAAATAGGTATAGAAAGCTGGAAAGCCATTGTACGAGGAATATGTCTCTAGAGCTATGTCTTTTTCTCCTCTTTAAGCAACTGGAATTTCACGGAGGCTGTGGACCAAGCATCTAAGGTTCTCTTGTTTGTTCATCCCTGAGTGGCATGACATGGATTTGTTTTAAATTTTGAAGAAAGGAGAGAAAAGTTATATATGAAATGATAATGAATACAGACTAACAGGGGTACTCTTTGATTTGAAGTACCAGGAAACTCCAATCATGTGCTAACAAAGCAGGGAGCAATTTTACAGTTAATTCAAAGCCAAAGACAATTGTTGATGCAAATCCTCCAATGCTAAATCTCTTTTACTCACTGAGATGTTAAAGCCCAAATTACCAGCTGGAAGCTCACCGGATGGTGGCACGCTGCTGCTGCTGTAGTATTTTCCCCTGTGGCATCAGCATCACACTTATGTGAGATCAGCACATTTGCAAGTAGCAAAGAACCCAACAGAGCTGAACAAGAGGGTGAGTAGGGCATGACTGACTGTAACCTCCAGGTTTGGGCCTTTCTTTATGAAAGCTTATGCCACAGAACCAACTTCTCTCAATAAAGGAAGAAGCAGCATCCTAAATATCCTATGGGCATACCTTTCAGATTAATTTAATAGATGCTTTTACGAATAAATGACACAGGCCATGGGCATTTCCAATGTAATCAAAATAATATCAAACAGAGAAGCACCAGGTGAAAGCAAAATGTCAGCACAGGATCAGTTCCACTGCTGTAGGGAGCCAAACTAGTAACATTCACAACATTAAAGGCTCCTGACAAAGATTTGTTTATTCTGTCAGAAGGCAATACAGAGGGCTGTATATCTGCATTACAGTCTGTCATAGCACGTTCTGTAGCCTTACAGCGGCTGAGGAGGCACCACAGGCATTACCTATTGCTGAGTTTGTCACAGATCTTGGCAAGACCATTTGAAAATCATTTCAGTGCTATGGAATTGTAAGTATGAATAACATAAGCAGCTTGAGTGTTTCAGAAGAAAATGGAAAAAAAGATTAAAAAGCTAATAAATTTGAACATCAGAAATATTGACATTGATTCTGAGACCTGAGTAAGTCCAAATAAATTTGCACAGTAAGGAGACTTGGGCTTTTTTTTTTTTTTTTTAAGGATCTTGAAAGCATCTTTCATTTTCTAACTGTGGAAAAACACAAATGTGCTTTTTTTCAGTGCATTGTATTGGCATTGGGAATGTCAGAATTGTCAGATGCATCAGAAACAGCATCCCATCCTCAGTCAGTACAAATAAATTTAGTTACAACGAAGCGAGTACATTTATTACAGTTAATTTCAACCAAAGATGTGGTCCTCAGTGTTACTTTTTGTTGCAAACATAAGAGACAGTAATGAATTAATTCTTAGTTGGCAAAAAGCTCAGACACAAGCCCGCACATGTTCTGCAAAGGAAAGGGAGAGCTAGCAAGCTTTGGAAGGGCTCAGTACTCCCTCTTCTGTTCTTTCCTATTTAAGACACGGTCATGTCATAACAAGTAATAGTTTGCTTTATTAATAAGCTGCAGATCCCTCTTGAATGCATCTGTAATCACTACGTTAAAATATACCTATTTCTGACCAGGAGTTAACTGATTTTGTGTTACTTCTCTAGGCTTGAATCCCAAATGACTGCTGATATCCAAACAATCCTGCAGCTTCTGCAAAGGCAGTCAACGCTCATTCCACCTGCCTATAGCATGGTGACTGCAGGTACAGAGTATCAACAGCCAGCAATCCAGGTTATGCAGAAGCTTCAGCCTGCAGCATCAGTTAAAACAGACAGAAGTTTCCGTCCTTCATCTCAGGTACGTACATGTCCAATATGATCAAAAGAGGTTTGCTAATCTTTTAAGCTTATGATGGAAGAAATGCATACCAATCTAGGTGCTTTTTCACTAATTTAAGGAATATGAAATTATTATTTTGACTAGCACCTCCACAGTGGATTAGATACCACAGTTTCAGAGGCCACATTTTCTGTAAGAGTTGGAGAGATCCATACAATGATCTTATAATCAGACTAGTTTACTTAATTATTATGCTCTTCACAAAAGTTAGCAGAAATGACAAATACTAGGCATGGGTGTAAACCACAAACACTTTCCAAGCATCAGACCTGCCTGCATGGGTGCATCTGCCATAGATCCCATTCATGAAGTCCTAAGCATCACCATGACTATGTTTTCCTAAAGATACAGGCCAGACAAGTCCAGCTGATGCAGCACAATGGTTATACACATATTGATGTAGGAGGGGCTAAAACCATTTTTATGGCCAGTCCCTTGCTACTGCTGGAAGACAAACAAACAGAGCTGTAACAGACCTGTGTTTCCTAATACATGTTTTCCACCCCAGTTCTGTTCAGACAAAATTTGATGGCTTTCCAAATTTGTTTGGGATTTCTGTAGTTTAACAGCTTGGGCAGAGATGTAGTTCCAAACATGCTGCTACACGTCTAGAAATCTCAAATCAGTCATGTAGCATATGATTAGTAAATCCAGTGTGCTTAGCTGTGCCAGATTCTTCATGTGTATGCTGGAACACATTTGGGCACAGGAAATACAACACATCCAGAAGGCATCAGTTCGCATGCATAAAGATTATCAGGATAGCAATTGCACAGCAGTAGTTTTCAGAAGTTTAAACCCACCACGCATATACCTGCACAAAATATAGACACATATCTCTGTCTAAACAGAAATATGGCCACCCTCTGCAACCATCAGAAGGCACACTGCACACTTCACACAAATTCCAAGTTTAAAAGTGAAGGAGAACTGCTTACTGAGACTGGAACCCCAATGGTTACAATGTTTCGAATGATGCAATTACAGTTATGTTTAGAAACAAAACTACAAATTCAAGAATGTTGAAATCCATACTCTTAGGTAGAGTCTCAAGAACATTTGGTTCTTAGAAAGGGCTGTTCATATGTGTATCATGATGTCATATGAGCAAGTCTGAGGAAAGGACAAGATATCCAGGTTTCTACAATTAATCAACAGAATTGCATTCAATTACATTAAATCCAATGCAGTAACATGTAAAAGTATTTCAGTACACTGCTTAATTTTCAAACATTGTTTTCCAGCAACCTTCTGCATGTGCTAATTTTGAGCAAAACAAGAGCTTGGAAAAGACCAGTTTAATTATTGCCATCTTATTTCTTCTCCTCCTTTCCAGTGTCCTGAATTTCTAGAGCTTGAAAAATCAAAACTTAAATCCAAAGAATCCCTCTCAAGTGGAGTGCATCTTAACACAGCCTCAGAAGACAACCTGGCTTCTTTTTTAGATGAAGAATGTGAGCAGTCTGTAGAGTGTCCCCCACAGCATCGTAAAACTTCTCTCCAACCAACTAGGCACCCTTCCTTGCCAGAATCTTCACTAAGCACTGTAGGAATCTTGAGTCTTCATAGGCATGTTTCTGATCCTGGTCTTCCTGGGAAATGATACTTTTGTACTATTACTTCACATAAAAATGTAAGTGCTTTTAATGGCTGTTTTTCCTTTTTTTTTTTGTATTTAAATCCTCTATACTTGACTCAGGGGCTACAAGGAATATACCATTATATGCAAAAGTACTGTATATTTTCCTAAATCTGAAGCTTGTAAGGTAAAGTTGAGCAGTTCTGATGTAAATATATACATACACACTAACTGTATGTTCCAAATGTAAAACTGCCAGCATTCTCAAGGCACCTTATATTTTTATTTTTTTTAAATAACATGCATGTTCTGAATTTACAATTTACGTTGCATGGAGATTACCATTTACTGCTGTCATGGAAATAGTATTTTATTGTGGATATGTCTTCAGAACAACTAGGAGACCAATGACAATGACTCACATATAAAAAGCTCCTACCTGACCAAGCTAAAATTCAAGCAAAATCTTCTTCTAGCTCACTTTTGAAAATTTATTTACCTTTCTTGTAGTGAGCTTTCTACAATAAATCACAGTGATTGTGAATCTAGAGAAAGAATTATGTAACCAAGTCCTCTGGGTTTGAAATAATTAGGACAGAGAAACCAGCCTCCTTCCAAATCAGTTGAAGCAGGCCAGTATTTTAAGAGACAGGAAAGCTCTGTCACATGCTGGAAAGTATCACCATAGGTCGCATCCCCAAAATTGTATTTACTGAATAATTTGTTTCCAGTACTTTTTTAAAAAAAAAACCATTGCATCATAGAAGTTAGCTGTCATGAGCGGGCAGGTACTCTTCACCTGCCTCAAACATAATCAAATGCAATAAATCTAATTTCTGTATAATACAGAAGACTGTGTTCCTTTTGTTCAATACAAATCATTAACAATCTGTTTAATCAAAAAATACTTTACACATTTTTGTTTTATTATTACTAGAGTGGTTGTTTGCAGTTACTTGTTTTTACTGACTGGCCCCTCAACAATGATCTGAGATAGGGTATATATGTATGTGGACACACACATACACCACACACACATTCCTGTATGTGTGCATGTGTGTATTTGATATATGTACATATGTGTGTACGTATGTGTGTATATATGTATATATATGTATATTTATATACACACATACACACAAGTGTGTGTATATACCTACACTTACATGTAGGAGTATAGATATAGAGCTCTCTCTATATATATGTATATATGTAAAATCACTTTCAGGAACAATTGTAAACTTTCTTATTACAAAACGAGTAAGCTTAGCTTGTGTCCAAAGCTGACTATATTAGAATAAAATGATTTAAGGTCTATAGGCTTTAAATACAGTATGTACTGTATGTGCATAATGCTTTGTGAATACTTAGATTTAATTTTATTAAAATATTATTCTGCTTCAAATGTTGTGTTTATTTTAGAAGGAACTGACCTTTTTATTACTGTTTTTAAATATTTTAAAATGTTCACATGATTTTCTAATCTTAAAGCTTTAATGTGAAATTCCTTTAGAAAGAGAACTGGTTGCAGAAAAGCATGTAACCCAGTTAGTGGGAGAGCAGTTATATTTTAATTAAAACCAAAGTAAACCCTCTGTTCTAAACCCATGCTACAGAGTAATGCAATAGTGGTCGACATTAATAGATACATATATTATATATTGGGGTCAGAATGATACATAACATTTTTAGTCATCCATAGCCAGTAGATAAATCCAAGGTGGCTGAATCTTCTCTCATTTAAAACTAGTGTGCGTATTGAGCTACTGAGCAAGGCTCTGCTTTACTTTTGCATATGAAGATACACAAGTGAATTAACTGAATACCATTGCGAGTGAAAAGAGAAACCAACCCTTCCTATACAAGACCAAATTTTCTTCTGCCTCATGCTGCTGTTGATTGTCAAAAGGTCCAAATGCTACAACATGCTGACTGCTCTTACTTCTAGAACGACAGGAGGTCTGCACTGCTTAGTGTCTTGCAGGGTCAGACCCTAGGCGACGGCAGCATTGGGCCAGTCAGAATCTCTGCCTGCGTATACTCCATTGAAGCAGGAGTGCTGAATAACAAAGCGAAATAGCTTTTTTTTTTTTTTTTTTTTTAATAGCTAGCATTAACAACTTCTGCTCTATCTCAATCTAGTAACTACTATTAATGTCTGTTACGAAGAACAAGCTAGCACATTTTCTAAAAGCGTATTTGTGGTTATGCTACATTTAAAACAGTGGTATAAATTAAAAATAAAAATAATGAAAAAAGTATAATGCATGAGCATTGCTTTACAAAATGCCTTTTGTCCAATTTCATCACTTGGTATTTCACATTAATGTAAAGAGACTGAGCAAAACAGATGGACTGGGAAAGGAGTGTTGGGGAAGAGGAAAAGCGACAACTATTTCAATTAGTCCAAGTAAAGGAAAAGCTCCATCCCTTACTCCTATTCTTGGCTCAAAGAGGCTTTGTTCCTTCCCTTCTCTCTGTCTGTATTAATCAAGAAGAAAAATCTCAAACGGGGGCAACTAAGGGAGACTTCACAAAGTTATATAGATTCTAAGCTCCCTAGATATCTGCTAATGAAAGAAGAAACAAAACATGAAAGATTACAACCTGGTTGGCAATACTCTAGCTGCCCCATCCCTGCTAAAGAAAGATCTTCCTTCTCAGATACCTTCTTTTCTTGTTGAGGTACAGTAAAGCACATGGAGACCTACTGCTTCAAGCTTCTTTCTTCTAGAGACAGGTACAAACCATTGTTTTTGGAAATGTGTGACAGCAAAAATTATCTTTTTTTTTTTTCCCCTGGCCTGGGTTCCCTTTAAGCCCAGTCAGTTTCTGATTGATAGAAATGGGTTTGTGTTATCCAAATCAAGCTAGGAATAATGTAAGGGTTGCATACCCACACATCACAATAGACAGCTGTAACATCCACAGAGGCTTTCAGGACTTCAGGATATAAGTTTTGGTCTTGCTTGAGCTTAGGAAGACTCATGCTGGCACATACACACTGAAATCCTGTGGCTAAAAATATGTATAAATTATAACTTTTAAATTATAACTCTGTATAGCTATACAGAGAAGTATCCTAGAAATTCAAGAATAACTACAGTAGCTTAAGTATCAAAGCAATTGGGACAATCATTCCAAACGGGAGAGGTGAGATGGTACAAATCAGCAGGGCTCTTCAGGAAGTTCATTAGCTTCCACCACCTGTGGGTCTAGTTCAATGTTTAAAGCAAACAACAGACTGAGATACTTTTCAATACTTAATCTGTGCAGCAATCCGCACCATTTGCATATGCAGGTCCATCAACATGCACAGATTTACAGTAATACATGTAAAATGTGTCTTGACCTACCCAACTCTGCTGTTTCCAGGAAGCATGTGACCGATTGCATGCTTTTCTCTCCTTTCATGTTCCCACCCTTTGTTCACTCAGCAAACACGTTTTCTGGTCTCCCATCTCACAGCTGCTGCCTATGGATGAACCTGTCTTCCCTTTTCCTGCTGCAGATCACGTCCTAGCAACCTCCTCTCTCTGGTGAGTGCAGGTCACTCATCAGAGCTTCCACGTGACTCATCAACATTGTAAGTAACATCCAAAAAGCTGAAAAGCACTGCTTTGCATGGCCTCTGGCTGCCTGCTTAGGCAAAGCACCTTGAGTTTTGCCCACAGATTAATTCTGTGTCCTCTCATTTGACAGCTGCTGAGCTAGCCTGGACAGGAACAGAATAGTGAGAAACTGCAATAGCAGCATAGTGTAAGGTGTGATTCCTCAAATTGGTTGTACTTAATACCACACCTGCAGATTAGTAGCTTTGATGTTTCTATACTCTTTTGTTAAACATTCTTACACTGTGAACAGATGCCTATGCTAGTATTTAAGGTCTGACTCTTCCTATGTTGGCTTAAATCAGAAATAATTAATTCCAATGGAGCCAAAGTTAAATATTATCACATTTTTTAATAGATCAGGACTGGGTTTAGTGGGCACCTCCTCTCCATTCATCTACAGGATCTCTCTCTATATACACACAGAATGATTTTTTTCCCATATACTGAGTTGAGTCTTAAAGAGAGTGACAGCTTGTTATTTTTAACAATGCTTCTGCAGACCCAGAAATTGGCTTTTGGATGTTTCTAAAACGTTTTTGTGGCATCAACAGTATAGTGGCATTTTCAGTATCACTCAGAGTACAAAAATTGACTTTGTTAAAGAAAATCTAAGAATTTTTCTCCACAAAATCTTCTGCAGAGGTTCTTCAGATACACCACATAAGCATGACATATTCCAAGCTAGTTGTACCAAGAAATAACACATAGCAGTTTGGAATTCATTCGTACATTGCCAACTTTAAATGCTTGTCGTTAAATACTTTTTACATTTTGGGCATAGTATCACAGACATTATTTTCCTCCCTCATACATTTTTCAGAATCTCAAATTGATGGTATTTTGTCACAGCAAAAGCAAATAGTTTCCAAAAGGCTACAATTCCCAGAGTTCTTAGTTCCTGTAGAGCAGTATCATTATATTCAGTCACCTGGAATTGACTAAAATCCAGTGAAATTTTGACAATGAGAGAAATGATGGAAATGAACACAGTATTTTTGAAAAAGCATTATTAATTATGCTAACATTGAACACAATTTTAGCATCTTCTGACTGTTATATGTGAAGTTCTGCCAAATTTTGTCAATTAAGAGATTAGACACCATTAATATCTAGGTAGCAAAGATTTAACTGATCAAACTCAAAAAACTAAAAGCTGCTGTTTCCACCAAATCTCACTGTTTCTAGCTAATGGCACAGCTATCGTAAAACAGTTGGGTTTGGAAAAACTGAGATTAACTTCAAATATGGACACTTCAAGTATGACTAGCACTTTCTACTTATTTAAGGTTAAAAAAAAAAAGCCTGCATACTTAAACTGGCATTAAATGTTGATGCATGAAGCAGAAAACCCTGTTCTGTTCAAGGCAACCAGTTTTTTAGTTCTTTCATTCAGACAGACTTTTAGAACAC